CGCGAGAGGAGTCGCTGCGGCCCGCCGGGGTCTGCCGCGTGGCTGGCGCAGATTCGTCTGCATGGCCGCCTGGTGCTGGCGCGTCCATGCGCCCGCCTGCAGCTGTCGGGATTGGCGCGTCCGGATCCCTGCCAGGCGCGGATCCCAGAGAGGATCGACTGCGCTGTTGTAGCACCTGCGCCGATCCCGAAGAAGACCTGTCCCCTGGACCAGGGCACATGAAATAGGGCCCTGTTGACCCGTTTTCTTCACCATTTTCTGTGATTTGAACAACATTGTTTTCTGCATTGTCACAAGGCTCAAGAAGACTATCAGTAGGGTTAGTCAACATATGGTCACAATTTGTAATACCCCCTTGATCATAGCCAGAGAGATGAGAGGGTAGGAGCAAGATTTCCTTGCGGAGGAGTGCGCCGACATTGGGATGGAGATCCGCAAAGGGAAACTTGGTCTCATCAAAAACAACATCGCGAGAGATGTAAACCCTACCAGTGGAGATGTCGAGGCACTTAACACCTTTGTGTTGTGCACTATAACCAAGAAAAGCACACTGTTTTGATCTAAACATAAGCTTGCGATTGTTGTAAGGCCGAAGATTGGGCCAACAAGCACAGCCAAAGACACGGAGAGAGGTGTAGTCTGGTTTTATGTGTAAGAGGCGTTCCATGGGTGTTTCATTGTTGATGACACGGCTAGGTAGCATGTTAATGATGTGAACAGCTGTAAGAAAAGCCTCATCCCAGAATTTGAGGGGCATGGAGGCTCCGTCTAGGAGGGCCAAGCCAACCTCTACAATGTGCCTATGCTTGCGTTTGGCCGACCCATTTTGTGGGTGAGCATGTGGGCATGACACATGGTGAGATATGCCTATGCTTTGGAAGAAGGAATTAAGTTTCTCGTATTCCCCTCCCCAATCAGATTGGACAGCAATAATCTTACTATCAAACTTTCTTTCAACAAGTGCTTGAAAGTTGTGAAAAACTTGAAACACATCCGATCTTTTCTTAAGGAGATAGATCCAGGAAAATTTGCTATAGTCATCGATGAAACTCACATAATATGTGTGTCTACCAACAGAAGAGGGTGCAGGCCCCCACACATCAGAAAAGATCAATTGCAAATGTTTGGTGGAGACACTAGTGGATATAGGGTATGGTAATTGATGACTTTTAGCATACTGACATGAATCACAACTAGTTTCAATGTTTCGCTCACCAACAAACGGGAGCTTATTTTTCCTAGGTAGTTTTTCAACTAAAGAAAAAGAGGCATGTCCTAAACGATCGTGCCATAGTGTGGACGAAAGCTTGCTAGAACCACAAGCTTGTTTATTGAATCTTCTAAACTCCGGAATCAACGGGTAGAGCCCTCGAACGCATCTACCTCGATAGTGAACTTTTTTCGTGGCCTGATCCTTGATCAAAAAGAAATAAGGATGAAACTCGAGAAAAACATGATTGTCAATGGCAATTCTATGAACGGAGAGAAGATTTTTATGAGCACTAGGAACATGCAAGATTCTTTTAAGATGAATTTTACGAGTAGGGGTATTAAAAAACAATGTGACATATGCCCATACCTTCACCACTGGCCGTGTGAATTTGGTCCTTGCCACGATATTTTTCTTTTATGGTGACTTTCTCTAGCTCATTGGTGATGTGGTTGGTGGCGCCACTGTCCACATACCAATTTGTATAAACTCCATAGGAGCCATCGGCCGCAGCAGCAATTTTCTCTTCATCTTGTGAGGAGTCACCATCATCCTCTTTGTAGCGGTACCAACAATCCTTCGCCGTGTGTCCAAGCTTGCCACAGATTTGGCAGCGAGGCAACTCCGGGCGTGATCTGTTGGAGCCGCCATTGCCACCACCGCGGCGTCCTTTGGAGTTTCCCGAGCGGCCGCCGCCACGCGAGTTGTTGGAGTAGCCACCACCACCGGAGCCGAACCTCCCCTTGCCACGGGGAGATGAGCGCGAGCGAGAGCCACCGCCGCGGCCTCTGAACGCAGAGTTGGCTGACGATTTGAAGCCACCACCGGAGCCTTGGTACTGCTCCATGCGTTGATCAAAGTTACTGAGCATAGCGAAAAGTTCATCAAGAGTTACCGGGGTGACGCGAGCATCCAGTGCGGAGACAAGGGGCTGATAATCTTGGTCTAGCCCGTGGATGATGTAGGACATGAGCTCGTCGTCCTGGATGGGTTTGTCCGCCGCGGCGAGTTCATCGGCGAGACCTCTCATGGTGGCGAAGAAGGAGGCCACCGATTGATTTCCCTTCTGCGCATTGATCAACGCTGTACGGATGTTGTTGACGCGGCTGAGTGGCTGCGACGAGAACATGCTCGCCAGTGCCACCCACAGTTCGCGCGCCGTGGTGATCGTGGTCACCGTGACGAGCACCTCCTTGGAGAGGTTTTGGAGCAGGTATCCGAGGACCTGCTGGTCCTCCCTCACCCAAAGTGGATGAAGAGGATTTGGCCGAGTCATCTCCTTGCCGGCGGCGTCCTTGCTGGTGAGGACTTTGTCCGGCTCAGTCGCTGTGCCGTCGACGTAGTGGAAGACGCCGGCGCCCCGCAGCTGCGGCGTGATCTGGGTCCGCCACAAGACATAGTTGTTGCGGGAGAGCTTCTCCGGGACTCCACCGCTGAGCGGCGACTGGAAGGAGGCGGAGGAGGAAGACATGGCTGCGCACTTGATGGAGATGGATAGGCTAGGGTTTTAGTGGAAGAAGAATGCTCTGATACCATGTGCGACTTGCGGTAAACGTCTTGCCTATCCTGGCCGACGTGTTCCATCTTACATAGATGGGTTGCAAGCCCTCATATGCGTACAAGTTGTTGTGGAGATACATCTTGGAGGAAAAGAAATACAAGAGATAAAAGAAGATAAAGACTACGTAAGTATCTTGCCTAACTACTCCTCATGCGGTTGACAAAGATCTCCTCTCCTAGTACGCAAGGATGTATGGTGCAGAACATGTCACGTTTAACACACGGATGAGAGCATGGGGAGGGAGCAGGCAAGCCGGATCCCGTTCTGAGATGGGGCACTACTATTAGCCCTGAATCTGTGCATGTTTGTTCTTTGCAGTTTTGTTTCTTGCATGCAAGTAGTGTAGCGCGCGCATGACCCCTCCACTTTATGTGTGCGGGCCTTGCCGTAATTAGTGGAACAAACCAAATCTCTGTTTCAATTCCTTCGCTTTGTTTCCCTAGTCGGCGTCCGGCCGTCCGCTGCCTGCAAATCTAACGCCGTACGCCGCTACGCTCCGTTGGCAGGCGGCCAGGTATGCACGCGGCCACTCCGTACAGCAGCGCCAAGGATGCATGGCAGGTACATCCGTGATGAAGGTCAGTCAAATCACCATCAATCATCAGAAAAGTTGTTCACCGGATCACCATCTCCATTTAGGTTAATTGAAACTCTATTTAATTTTGGTTTTGTTTCTCTGTTTGGTGATTATATCGGTGATGATTAATTGAGAGAATCAATTTGTTTTGGCCTTTTATTTCTATGTACGTGTGTATCAATTCCGACAGATTGGATTAGAATCCACTACGGCACAACATTTGCAGGACAGTGGCACAACGCGAGAAAGCCAATTCCGACAAGCCGACGCAGACAGCGTCTGGCCGGCTGGCTGAGTGTCAGGGCGTCACCGATCAATCCATGACTCTGTCAGGTGCGCCTACAAAGTCTTATTTAATTTAGGCTATTTGCTACTCTCTTCATTCCAAAATACAGTGCGTCCGCGCTTCCTGATATTCAACTTTAACCATAAATTTAACCAACAAGACCGACTGCGACGGATTTTTTCTCCCGCTGCAGTCGGTCTTGTTGGTTAAATTTATGGTCAAAGATTAAGCACAGGAATGGCGGAAGCACTATATTTTCGAATGGACGGAGTATAATTCTCTTGAATAATTCTACCAATGAATATACATGCAAAACACTATATTAAATAATTATACTTTCTAGTCGGTTCATCTTGGCAAACACTATACTGAATAATTATATTAGTTTTCTATGTTCATCTTTTATGTACTTGCACAACTGGCCAGCTCTCAAGTCGTCATGCATAATTCTAAATGTTGTGTAAGATAACAAATATTCAAAATTATATAATGAAGTGATAGTATGCGTTTCTAGGGCCCATTTTAAAGTTCGGCCGGGGCCCCAAATTCTTGGAGACGGCCCTGACTAGCTCTAGTACAAATTTGTAGTAAGCTCAAGACACTTATTTTGGGACGGGGGTACTAAAAGTTGAATTTGATTGCATTTACCTAAAATAGTGGGGCAGTTACAATCCACATAAAATGGCACGTACATATTTACGCAGGAATTGGAGTTTCCTTCTGTTTTCTCTTCGACTGAATAAAAGGAAACGTCAGCTTTGGGATGGCGCATGAATATCGGTATAAAGGAAACGGCAGCGTGGTTAATCGTGGGATGCATGGCGGCGTGACTATTGGATCCAATCCCATTTCTCTGGTTTTTGCCATTTTCTATTTGAGTGAATAAAAGGAAACATGGTAGCTCGTGACCTGAGTCTTCTTCTACCTGTTGCCCCTTTCCCTGTGTCAATTCACTAAATTACACTTGATTCCGGTGAGCAGCGGCAAGACGGGACATGGCCAGTGGCTGCCACGACGAAGAAGGGCCTGCATCTTCGGTCCGCTGTGTCCATTGGAGCAGCAGGGGAAGGCCGCATTGGAGCTTAGGAAGAAAATTTTGGTAGACGAGCAAGCATCGTCAAAACAAAAGAAGAAATGCAAGGAATTACTCGATGATGCATGTGTGCATGCATGCACGCACGTAACCTGAGCATACAGACTCAATAGCGGCAAGGGGCGTCGCAGCTGGCTGAGGCGAAGACTCTGATTTATTCCGTACATACTTGGAGCAGTATAGTACAGTGCATGCATGCGTAAAATAGAGAAGTGGTGAAGTTATTATTCCTATCCGTTGCTTCCTCCTTGTCGACAACACGAAACGCACAAATCACAAAGGTAACATGGTCAAGCTTGCCAGCAGTTCAAGGCGGATGCTTGACCCCTGTATGATACCGTAGTGCTCGGTATTGCGGTCGTCGTCAAGCTCCTTGCCATTGAAGAAAAGCCGCTGGGCCTTCACCGGGAGGTGGCGGTAGCGCTTGTGGATCATCTCCTTCATCTGCTTCACGGTCGCGAAGTACCACACCTCTAGGGTGAACGAGCCGTTCTTCGCCTCAAAGGTAACGTCCATGGTGGCCGCCCTTCCGTCTCTAACTCGTCTCTTCTCTACCTGTAGACCGATATTCCTATAGGTCATAAATTCCACTTACAAAATAGTGGGAATGCAATTATGTAAATTTCTAATTTATGTTGAAATCATTATCATGCATGTGTAGGAATGCCAACTGATAAATATGAATAAAGCTCACGCAATAAAAACGACTACATGGTGCAGATAAAAACTACTATGTGCAAGACACGACTTATTCAACCAACAAAATGCAATCTATTCCATGATCAAGAGAATGAGCATCCTAACGTATTCGAGTAAAAATAACCCATCTGATCGACCTATCCTGGAGAGATTGATATCAACCTCTATCGGAGGTGCCGATGACAAAGAATGACAAAGGTAGGCCCAAAATCAAAAGAGTGGAAGAATTAACCAGACATCGCCATGTGGCGCCTAAATTAGATGGAAGCCAAGAATATATGGTCGTCAATACTAAATAAGTGGAGGCCAGATTAGAAAACCTAGGTAGCTCCATCATGGATAAACTACAGAGGCACATGACCAATATCAAAAGATAAAAATAAACGTTTCGGCCCTGATAGATTGCAACAAGGTGAGTTCCTCTAGCTTGCCTTCTTGTATGGTTACCTACCTAGCCGTGAAGGTGAAGATAGTCAAGCTTGGTGCAGACAGGTCGAGGTTCAGCTTAATAATGAAGATGAAGTAAACGAACAAGCTTCCTTCTAGTCCTGCGCCATGGCAGGGTATTCTTCCTTGGTCTCTTGGTCGTGGAGGGGGGTGCATGGGCAATAGATGAAGAGTGAGTTTATATAGGCCAAGAGGGTCGGCTGGGTAGGGTCTAGGGTTTTCGGCAGAGAGAAAAAACATGAAGGGCTGGGATTGTTTCTCAACTAATCCCGCCGAAACAATTGCTGAAAAGAAATTTGAAACTCAACGAAGCTTCTAGAGTTCCCTATTTGTTTGGATGCGAAAGAAAATATTTTGCAGAAAATAGATAATGAAATTAATTAAAGAGAATAATGGATTTTGATGATATTGCCATAACTGCAGGATTTGTGATTAATGAAATAATGTGGTGCATGGCATATTCCACGGGAATATGGCATTTTTCTTCGGCTAGAAATTGGAGTTTCCACACCAGTGGAGCAAAGAAAAGGAAAGAGTACGCATTATGTTGTGTCCATATATACGGATACGTGCTTTAAAGATCATTCAATGTCTAGCTGGTGTATATGTATATTTTAAGAGTTCACAAAACCTAGCGGTAATGGTGTTCGTCATGCATGGTAAGTTCATGCAAATAAATAATACTATTTAACAGCGGCGAGGATGTAGCAATATTTCATGATCTGATTTTTATGCTTCTACTAGTTTGGACAAATCGAGAACTACTAGAAGAATAGGCGCGCTTTGCCGCGCTCGGTTATAGCTTCGTCAGGCCTTTATTTTGCAGCAGTATGCCATCATTTCAAACCTTTAAGACTCGAAACTGATATTGGTGTGAATGCTCGAATGTCAAATACATACAATACTCAATGGTTTAGGTGCAAACAATGGACATTTTCAATGCTCGATTGATTACCAGTTGACACATAATTCCTCAAACGAATATGCAAGACAGTTTTCCAGGTAATCTTAAGATTTTTATTAGGATACAAATTTAACAGACTGTAGACTGAAGGAAATATTGTATGTTGGATAAGGAATCTAAATAAAGGGATGCATTGCATCTCAATCACCTTTCTATTAGTATTATACGGATAAAGAACAGATCACAATATCATCATTTTTTGTTTGATGTTTGTACCGTGATGTGAATAATATGATGGGAAATCAAATGATCTGTGCCAAGAGAAATTCTTTTTTTGACAAAAGAGAGCATTCTCTCCGATTTCCATTAGAAGAAATCACCATGTCTTACTACAAAACATAAAAAGAAACTAAAAAGATAGAGCGTAATACTCCACTCCCCTACGAAATTGCATTTGCCAAACTGAGGGAGAAATCCCTTTCCCCTCCCAAAATCCCCAAGGCAAAAGAACCTATGGGAGTGGCCCGAGGCCTGAATTCAGAGAGGAATCCAGGCCCCGGAGCGCTAACAACTCTGCTATTTAGGACAGGGGCATACACCAGGGGTGCCAAGAGAATTTAATTATATGAATGCAGAAAACAACCTAGAGATCTTTTATGCACCAAACAAAGATGCATACTATTCATGTCAGTATTTCAAATCAAGGGACAAAAACAAATGAACCAACTAAGATAGACTACATCAATTGCCTCCTCGTACCTCCGAAGGACAACAAATGTTCTGCCTCAGTGTTCAGAGTATAATAGAGATCCAATAATTGGACCAGAAAAAAATACCACTACTAGAGAACGGGATTGTGAAGCATGGAAGGACTATTTCAAAATCACCATCCAGAAAACTCGGAGCATGCAAACTGCACATACTACATAATTGTATGCATATTCAACACGAAAGCTCATACATATTGTTCTTGGATCTGGAAGGCCAGCTCCCATGACACGGCCTCCCCTGAACGGATGAATCAACAGATGATCGGCAACCCCTAGCAGCTAGGCCCTCCCCCAGCCTCTTGAACAGTCAGTTACCGTATCAGGTTAAGCCATCTCACCTCTGGGCACTATTTTTCAATATAGTACTAATGCAAAGCTATTCATGCTTATTCTTATGTGGTTGGGCCAAACACGTGAGTGGGATATATAAGGCTGAGAAGGAAAGGCTCCTTTTACTTATTCAATCCCTAGATTTAAAAGCCGACTCCTCCATTCTAGATACCAGAGAGCTAGAAACTAAAGTGGAGGCGGAAATTAGATTGAAAGAACTACTTCGTGAGGAGGAATTGAAGTGGGCACTGCGAGCTAAACTTCACAAAATCGTCCAAATGGATGATAACACACAATTCTTCCATATGATTGCGAATGGCAAGCATCGAAAGAAGAGAATATTTTAGCTTGAGCAATATGAGGGAACGATTTTAGGACAGGAGAACCTAAAAGTTTATATCACCAATTACTATAAGTAGTTGTTTGGGCCTCCAGAGGATAATTTCGTATCCTTGGATGAGTCGAGGGTTGAGGATGTTCCTCAACTAGCAGTGGATGAGAACGATATTTTGACAGCCCCATTTTCGGAGAAAGAGGTGTTTGAAGCAATTTCACAAATGAAGAATAATAAAGCTCCAGGACCGGATAGTTTTCCGGCGGAGTTTTATAAAAAGTGCTGGCACATCATTAAGAAAACAGTTGCAGGATCTATTCTCGGGACAGTTGCGGTTGCTTCACTTGAACTTCGAAACAATTACTTTGCTTCCTAAGAAAACAGAGGCCGTGAGGATTGAGCAATTTAGGCCGGTCTGTCTTCTTAATGCCCGCTTTAAAATTTCACCAAAGTTGGGACTAATAGGCTTACGTAGATTGCGCATTTTGTGGTGAAGCCATCTCAAACTGCTTTCATGCTGGACAGAAACATCCTAGAAGGGGTTGTGCTCCTACATGAAACGCTCCATGAAATCCACATGAAAAAACTAGATGGGGTGGTTTTCAAAGTGGATTTTGAGAAAGCGTACGACAAGGTAAAATGGCCATTTCTTCAGCAGGCGTTGTGTATGAAAGGATTCGGTCAGGCCTGGAGGGACCAGGTAGATTCTTTCACGCAAAAAGGAAATGTTGGAATAAAGGTGAATGATGACATAGGTCATTACTTCCAGACACACAAGGGTCTGAGACAAGGAGATCCGATGTCATCGATTCTGTTCAACATAGTCGTTGACATGTTGACAATCCTATTAGGAAGGGCTAAGGATGATGGCCAGGTAGGTGGCCTCGTTCCGCATTTAGTTGACGAGAAGTGTCTATCCTACAGTATGCTGATGATACTATCATCTTCATGGAGCATGATTTGGCTAAAGCTAGAAACATGAAGCTGATGTTGTGCTTGTTCGAACAATTATCGGGGTTAAAGATTAACTTCCATAAAAGTGAATTCTTCTACTTTGGAAGAGCTAAAGAAGAACAAGAAGCTCACAAGGAATTGTTCGGGTGCGAATTGGGGTCTTTACCCTTATGTATTTGGGTATACCAATCCACCATCGCAAGCTTTCCAACAAGGAGTGGTAGTGCATTGAAGATTGATTTGAAAAAAAACTGAGCTGCTGGAAGGGCAAGCTTATGTCATACGGAGGACGACTGATTCTGATTAATTCGGTTCTCACAAGTATGCCTATGTTTCTCTTGTCCTTTTTTGAAGTACCAGTTGGAGTACGAAAAAGGCTAGATTTCTATCGATCGCGCTTCTTCTGGCAGAGCGATGAATTAAAACAAAAATACGGACTCACTAAGTAGGATATTATTTGTAGGCTGAAAGATCAAGGGGGTGTAGGCATTGAAAATTTAGAAGTGAAAAGCAGATGTCTTCTCAGCAAGTGGTTGTATAAGTTATCTGTAGAGACGGATGCCACATGGGCACAGATTCTGCATAATAAGTACCTTCAGTCCAAAGCCTTGTCCCAGGTGACGGTAAGACCGACTGATTCGCCTTTTGAAGGGACTGGTGAGAGTGAAATCAGTCTTTTTAACAGGACAAAATTCGTAGTTGGAAATGGTACTTCCACAAGATTCTGGGAGGATACATGGCTAGGGGAGACACCCCTTGCACTCCAATATCCTTCTCTCTATAATATTGTTCAGCGAAAAGACGCTCACGTTGCAACAGTATTATAGTCCAACCCTCTTAATATTCAATTCAGGAGGACGCTAGCAGGAAACCGTTGAAAAGCATGGCTCCATCTTGTGAGAAGATTAATGGATGTCCACCTTTCTCGACAACCTGATCAGTTGCACTGGAACCTAGCTAAGAATGGTGAGTTTTTGGTTAAATCCATGTATTTGGATATTATCAACACTAGTGCTATTCCTCATTCGAAACATGTTTGGAAAGTCAAAGTGCCTTTAAAAATCAAAGTGTTTATGTG